TGGGAACCCCTCGCGCTCCCCGGTACAAGTAATTACACTTTTTATAGAATCGGAAATGAGATGAAAGTAGCCTCTTTCTTCTCACTTATATCCCTCACCCGGGGTTTCTTTTGCACTTATTATATTAATCGCATAACCAGCTTCGGAAGGCAGAATTCCACCTGAGGTTAAATAGTCTACCAGCCCTGAGACAGACGTCTGAATCCATCCATCATAATTTAAACGTTTTACGAGACTTACAGTAATGTTGCCGGTGGATACAATATTCTTTGGTGATGGTTACATTGCTTACGTGGTCCATTCTGTTTTCTATGACTATCATCTTCATACTAGTATTTCATCTGGAACTGCGAAATGACCACCGACCACTACCGAAACAGACCTTATCGTGGCAGGTTTTGACTAAAGCGATGTAAAATTAAAATGCAGTAAAATCGTATTTTCAAAGTCAATTTTCGGATCATTTTCATTATCAGAGAAATTTCCTCATCCAGAATATTTTTTCGTTTATTTTGCAGCCATGAAATTGCACTGGATGCCTTTAATAACTAGCAGTTTGCAATGTGGAAGTTTACATTTGTTGTTCCTTTACTACGAAGGATGAAATTCTTCACAGTAGCCCCAAAGCTTGTTCTCTGTGCTTGTTAGTTGGTCCAACACCGTGAGACCTTCACTGGGCTTAGGACAGGCACGCCGACATCGGGCAAAATAGACCGAGAGTTGTGATTGGACGTGCGCCAGGAGTCAACCAGGTGACTGACCTGTGCAGGTTTGAAGAAAGCTGTTCCTAAGAATCATCCACAGAAAGACTGTTTCTGATAGCCTCCGTAGCAGGCTTATAGAACTGGGGATTCAGTGCTGTTTTCTGATTAGCCCAGTTTCAGGCCGGCTATGTTGTCTATATGCAATCAGAAAATTGCACATAGAAGCCGATCCCAAAGACTGACCCTGAACGACCCCCCAAAACCCCAGTTTTTGGCATGCTATGGACGCTAGGTTTCTATATGTTTGTGGGGGCAGGGAAGGAATGTTGATCTGGTGGGTTGGTTATATCCCGTAGGACGTATCAGTGGGAGGGGGGCTGTGCAGTCACACGCGATGTGACGGAAACACAACTACCTGGAGACCCTATGAAAATGCAAGACTTACAGTGTGAAACTCATAATGACAATTATAGGTTAGTATGTTAAGACCTGTCAATGGTTAAAGTGGGTGGACCAGACGGAATGAGATAGACTTGAAAGCCAGATGAAGAGAGAGTAAGCCTTGTCCTAATGCCTCTGGAAATAAGCTAGACATTCCGTAGCAGCCTAGGAATAACCATGAACTTCAACTAATGCGCCAACTTAGTAGTAGTTTTAGCTTTTGCAGTTGCAGTTGCCCGCACATCTTCTGAAAATTGGCTTTTTGACTCCCGGATTCACAATATTGCTCGACAAAATTATCAAAGAGGAAAGACGTCCTGTGTAATAAAATAGGCAAGAAACAAAAACACCTAGGTCGAATTTACGGTCGGTATTACCTGAGATAACTAAGCCCGGTTGCGCTGCAGGAGATATGCCCAAAATATCGCAGCACCACAGAAGTACTAATGAAAACCAGTCTGTAGCGTTCTAGGACAAGGTGCCGACAAAGCCGCTGAATTAGTCCTTCGTTCCTGGCCCGGTTGGAGTGTGAAGAATGTACTTGTTGAACTTGAAGACAACGGCGAAGCTCAGTACCTCCAACTGGGGGCCGTTTTATTTGTGAGATGGGCTCCGTGGTTTGACAGGCTGCCGTGTTTGGGTAGTCTTTGGTGATTTCCCGTCCTATAGCTCACGCCACGGCAGAGCAAGGAGCACATCTTGATCTTATAACGTTCAGGCAAAACATGCCGGTAGGAGTCTTCAATGGGATTTACAACATGCAGATATCATAGATGAAGGATGTAGCCAGCGTATCATATCATACATCATATCATATCTTGTTCTTGACACACCATCAGGCGTTGGCTATTGGCCATGTCAAAGACCATTTTTCTTTCCCGGAGGAAAAGATGCAACGCAGGTGTATCATTGTTTCACTTCCTTCCACGTTGTTCTAAAGCTACTAAGGCATCCAATGCAATTTTAGGGCGGCAAAACTGGATTTTCAAAAGAAAAAGTTAAATTTTCTGGTCATACGTTTAATGTGGTAAGATGAATCAACCTTATCACATAGCATACTGATATATGTGAGGCAAAATACGATGTCGCTGAAGGAAAACGGTTGCTTTTTTGTGTCAAATGCTGGTTCTAGCTATTTATTGGTGGTACCTTAATAGAGGAACTTCTCATATTGCTAGTTTTGGTGCTAACGCTTCAAGTATGAAATTATGACGAAAATGTGCTAAGAAATGGCAGTAAATGTCAATATCAGACAGATTTTGTCTTTCTTTTTTTCCGCCCTGAAAGTACGTTGGATGCCTTTAAAAGGCTGATCTGGTCTATACTGGCAAACAGAGCATTCATTGCTTTTAAATTTTCTACTTGACGGTCTGACGCCGTATCTCGGCACCGATTAGAATTTCACTGGCGACTTCCAAACTTTGTCAGCGTTTCTAACTTGCTGATTCAGGGCAAGACTGTTTGCGTTCACAGAATGGGGCGATGTGTACCGCTTGTTCAAAAACACATCGTGATAGATTGTGCGTGTTTAAACATCGTTCTCCGATGTTGACGGAAGACATCGCGAGCTGAAACCAGGGAAACTCCATTCACGATATCCAAACTTCACCATAATAACGCCAACAAAAACCTTGATACAGAACCTATAAATTAGCTCTGCTAAACAGGCGTCTTTGTTGGTAGCTGACGGAATGATATCTGCATTGTTCTGCAAAGAATACATCTAGTGTCGGGCAGTCTTGACCGCTTGACAAAACAGCCAAAGACACAATTGCAAAATTGTTTCTGTAACTTATCTTTGGACGCTGCTTTAACGTGCATCTAGTAGAACGTTGGTGTCTACATGTACGATATATAAAATGTTTTTTTTCACTCGAAGGTTCTGGTTTTCCTAATGTTGAGGATTGATGGAGATGATCGAAGAACAGGTAGACTAGGCAACTGGTCATGCCACTGGTTTTCCTTTAATGCCCACGATCATGATAATGATCATTCTGACATGCTCATTTTCACCTGAACGAAGTGAGGAAAGTCGTGTTAAGTGCATTCCCCAAGGGCACAAGGCTGGTGAAGGCAGGATTCGAACCCGGGACCTCTTGGTTCTGAGCCGAATGCTCTGCCATTACGCCACGTAACCTCAATCCCACTGCCTCTTGGACTTCACGCCAGCCCTTCTATGGTCATCTCTGTAGGTTGGACGTGATACAACATGACATGTACTAAAGACCACAACACCACAAGTGTCGAGTGGTCACAGTATGCATCTGTGTGGCACCCCGAACACCTCCTCTCTAGACTCACTACAGGTGGGCGGACGGCTCAAAAACCGCTTTTCTTCTTCCTCACGGAGGAACATCCATCAGTCTGGTTCCCCGAGGAGAGCCGCTGTTGTCGTGCTGACCCACTTCGGGGTGGAATCCCGATGAGAGGAATGATTTTTCAGCGTGTCGAGGTTTCCAGGCGACGGTGCCAATCGCCACCGGCAGCGTCTGTCCTTGTTAGCCGCGACGACCGTGGACTTGGTGCTCTGGCAGCGATGATGGGTCGGAGTGGCTTACAGCTGTGACGTCTTGTGGGATGCGTGGTGGAACTACAAAGGACCGAACAACGTGCTTGTGGCGATGCACCTGGGACGGGCTTTACACTTGGACTTCAACTGTCCATACTCCGAATGCCTTGCGTGGTACAAATAACGCGAGGGTTCTGATGCGTTGTGTGGGCTTCCATGTACAGAATGTCACGGTTAATAGTGGAATGAAACCGTATGAGTCTGTGACACAAAGGTACCCATAAAACACCTGACCGCTTTGACAACACTGCCCTATTTCATCTCATGCTTATGTCAACGATATGTCAACGCCTTACTAGATCTACTAGAATGTTTGAAAATTAATCAGTCAGACCAATAACGATCTATCATTTGATGATCCAAGGCCACTCAACGGCTTGATGGCTGTCATAACCTACACAACAGCGCCTCATGGCGAATAGGTACCATTAACGCAGGCGCCACTAGATCATTGCAATCTCTTTGACTGGAGTAGGAGCTCGCTCAAAAACTGCAGAGGTAATGTTCTCGCAGGTGTCTAAAGGTGATGGTGTAGAATTTGACAATATTGCGGACCGGGGGGACGGCTTAAGTGTTGCCTGATGTGAATCCTGTCCCGTCAGGGATATTTGGTGGTCCATCTCGGGTTCTCTCGGCAGGTGTGCCGAACTTTCCCGACTCCCTCACAGTACGAAGTGTCTGGAGTGATGACATGCCGACAGCCCGCTTTCATTAGACCTGTCGTGATGTGTAATTTCCGAAGTGAGCTTCGCTGATCGCTTCCAGAATTCCAGTCACAGAAAAGGTGACCTGCCGTGGCCCCGGTGTCTTCCCTGCACGCAGTGAAGAATGCACAAATTGCAGAAGATTTGGACAACCTGGATATCAATTAGTATCAACTAGGGACATGATAATGGTTCTAATAGGGTCCATCTCATGTTACTCGCCACTAGCAACACTACCTTTACTGAAGCTGGTCATCATTATACCTTCGCCTCTACTGCATACCGGGTGTTCGTTCTGTTCTATTAGTTTAAGTAATGTAATTTTCACCCATGGCTATTGCTTAGATGTTATTTTTAAGCAAACAGGTCTACTGTTACTGTACATTGACCGCTAACTGTGACCGTTTTCTCTCTGTTTCAGCTCACGTTCAATAACGCGAGAGTTGCCTGCAAGTGTCACGGTGTTTCGGGCTCCTGTAGTCTGAACACCCATGGCTATTGCTTCGATGTTACTTTTAAGAAAACAGGTCTACTGTTACTGTACATCGACCTCTAACTGTGACCGTTTTCTCTCTGTTTCAGCTCACGTTCAATAACGCGAGAGTTGCCTGCAAGTGCCACGGTGTTTCCGGCTCCTGTAGTCTGAAGACGTGCTGGCAGCAGCTGGCAGACTTCAGGACGGTCGGCAACCTGTTGAAGGACAAGTACGACGGCGCCAACGAGGTCAAACTCGTCAAGAGGGGCAAGCGGTACCGCTTGGATCGCCGCAACCCCAAATTCAACGTCTTCACGGATGAGGACCTGGTGTACCTGAACAGATCTCCCGACTACTGCAACGCGGACCCGACCATAGGTTCACTGGGAACACACGGCAGAGAGTGCAACAAAACCGGGCTGGGCACGGACGGGTGTAACCTCATGTGCTGCGGGAGAGGGTACAACACGTTCAAACGGGAAAAGGTCGAGCGGTGCAACTGCAAGTTCCACTGGTGTTGCTACGTCAAATGCAAACGGTGTCGGTCAATAGAAGACGTCTACGTATGCAAATAGCAGAGGCGCAAATTGTACAGACTTTTAAGTTTTGTATCATTGGAAGAAGAAGAAGAAAAAACTCTTTTTATTATCATCTTGTTTGGCCTTTATGGGGTCAAAATGTACAGAAGACGGATATTCTATTATTGTATCAAAAAAGGTTCCTTCGGAGTATTAATACATACACGTGCGCGCTAACTTCAAAGTAGGTTCTAGAATATGTCGTATTAGAAGCTGGCAGAAACTATTTATTGGAACAGTGATGAGGCTGTGGACAACACGTGGATTTCAGTGAGAGGTACAAGGGGGCTTCCTGTGCGAAATTCAGGGTACAGACAGTACAGAATCACCGCTATCACAAACAGTATTGTGTAGACACAAGTATGGCGGTACTACATAGACGTCAACGTACTTAAGGATAGCATTTTGAAAAAGGACGACGTATAAATATGCTGGCATTATGGAAGTCCACTTGATCAGCTTGAAGTTTCAAGCGGACTTCAAAAACTGTCGACATTTGAATCCAGGGAAAACTAGGAAATTACAGTAGGAAAGATTTTGCTGTAAGAAAAAGCGGGAAAAGTGTTCGTGGTTCGTTGGGAAGGCTATCCGTACTTAAGTGGAACGAACGTTAACGATAATTTCAGAGGAAATATCTCACTGCAAGGCTTGTACATAGCAGAGAGCCGAGACTTAACTTTTGTACTGTTTACTGTTTCACATTCTGAACTTTTGTTGCTTTGTTATTTATTGTCGATAGTTCTTTTGTACCCTGTATGTATGAATGTATGTATGTATGTATGTATGTATACGTACACCTGCTAATTCCATGGGCATCAATAAACGTTAGATATGCACTAGTTGATGTGTCGTAATCGTGCGAGTCACATTTCACTTATTAGTCTGATTACGAAACCTATTTTAGCTGCCGAGTCTCTATTTGCGGAGACACGGCAGCTAAAATAGGATTGGTAAAGCTAAGGTCCCAATTACGCCGGTGCCCGTCGGGGATGTAGCCCCGGCTGGCCCCGGCCGGGTTCAGGAGTCGAGCGGGCATCGTCTGTCGTGGTCACAATTAAAAGTTTCCTTCAGTAGCATTTTGTTAGAAATTTTGTCACCCTCTTTGGTCGGTATCCGGCAGGCACCCGGCAGGTACCCAGCAGATTCTCTGACGATGTCTTGTATTGACCTATACGTAATGCAGAATTCACGTATTTGTTGTGATCATTTGATCTGTGAGGTCACACATTTTACCCGGGTTTACGAAGTACACACCTTTATTCTGTTCATCTGGTCTGTGACGTAAGAAATGTGTCCCGGTGGAATGCCGGCAACCGGAGGGGTACCTCCCGGTGTTCTCACGATGAGGTCACGGCGTCTTGTTGTTAGCGGGGCCCGGGTAGAATTTAACTCAGAATTAAATTCTTATCGGGGCCCCGACGGGCCAAAAAATATCCCGGTAGCCGCAGGGTGCCCCGCGGGGCCACGTCGGGGTCCCGCCCGAAAGTGGTAAAAAAACAGCCCGGGAACTACCCGCCAGGGCCCCTTTTCCCAATTGGGACCTTAGCTTAACCAGGCTATGCAATTATGACAAATTATGACAAATGATATAACAGGCCCTAGTTCCATGTCCAAGTTGATACCAATAGATATTAGCATTCTATGTTGATACATACACGACTACGACGAGGTTACTAGGGCAAGCTGAAGGTATCGACTGAAAAGGTGTTAGAAACAGAAATGGCCCCTGTGGCGTAGCCAAAAATGAACACCTGAAGAAACAGGTCGTCCACCTGTACAACGACGACATCTAGCGAAGTTCATTCTTTGTGCATCTATTTCAATTAGACGATGCGTAACTTGTCAAAACCTCTGAATAGAGCATTTATAAAGATAGGGAAATATTTTTTTCGAAACCCTTTCTTTATATTTTTGCTATATTATAAATATTTTGACTCAATACAAATCCATACATCATTACATACATTCCCCAATCAGGCAATGCGAGACGTGATAATATTTTAGAACATAACTGGCAGAGCCTCAACTGTACGCTAGGTGGCGCTAGTAATCAACTACCAGTGATCCACACCTGTTGTATTTTCTTTGCCCCCGAATGACTCCGCATCGACATTAGCCAAGACCAGCATACAGGGTAGCTAGGCCAAGGAAATTTAACCACAGACCACCTCATTTTGACTTTTCCAAGGCTCTCCATTTGGGCTGGCCTGTGTGCTGACCCTGAGAACAGTCTGACACCCAGGCTATACGGAGAGGCGCTTGTGACGCCATTCTGTCAGATGACAACAATTAGCAGTGACCTGGCTTGACAATAGTCACAATTCAGCTCCTCAATCTCACAAAGGCCGTCGTACGGGCCATGGGGCGCGACTGAGTTAATCAGTCTATGGAGTGACTAGTGAAAGACGTGGTGTTCTTTCATACAGGGTCTCTATTTTGAAAGTCAACTCTGAATGGCGCACAACGCACAATACCAGACCACATTGTGTGGAGAATCTATGTTGAGTCAACACGGCCCACTTACACATAGAAGGGACACACAACTACTAACGCCGTAGAGATAAAGGATGTCCTTGAAAAGAGTAGTTTCATTGGTTTTGATCATATTTTCACAGCGTAAATGGGCGGCCAATCTCTTGTTTATTAAAAAAAACGAAGTTTGAAAACATATATAAGTGGTTGTCACCGACACAGTTAGATCAACTAGATTCCACACACATTTGAAAAACAATCCACCCTTCTTTCGCATTATGTTTTATCTCCAACAAGATCTTTTGGTGGCTGCAATACAGAATCATCAGATTGCCAATACAGTGACAAATTGGCCAGGCAGTATCTAATACGTAAAAACATACCAGCACAAAAAAGAAAGCCCGATAAAAGCGCCTAAATTAGCCGAAGCCTAAACATCTGCTTAGGTAGTACATTATGCACACATGTACAAGACAATATAGAATTAGGACGATTCCACTACAAGAGCCACAGAAGGGTTATCTTCAAGGGAGATATCCTTAAAAAAAACTTAAGTAACCGATCACGTAAGATCACGAACAATTTATAGCAAAATGTTAAATTCTAATGTCTAAGACTAACCTTGATAAATCAAAGGTCATTTGCCAAGTCTCAGTATTTTAATCAGATTAGTGCACCATTTGTCCAACCCCTCCCCTGACTTCAATGGTCGCTCCCTTTACTGTAGTTGTACCTGCCGCTAAAAGATTAAACATCCTAACTCACATTAGGGGCACGACAGGACACATAAAGGCGTTGTCCTGTCACTTCGTGTCCCATTCGGCTAAATGAAACGTAACATTACACAGCAAATAAAACTGCAGAACAAATATAGACTGTTTCCCCTGTCTCTCCATGGACACCGTGTATCAAGCATGTCGCCTGATGACGGCTAGTTCAGATAACACACCCGAGGTGCCAGTTATACACCATTAAGTGGACAAGCTTTTCTGACATTTGGCTTAATGCGTGGCATAGAGACTACTTAGCTCAACCACGAACCTTACATGCGTATCAAATCCGTGAGTTAAAACACTCTAAGTCAGATCAAACTGTAGAAATGTTTGTTTCCATACTTACGATGCACCACTTACGATGTATATATGCAAACACTCTGTTGAAACCTAAAAACAAGGAAGCAAAAAATCGTTCTTACTGACGACAAAGACATAAGGAACCACTAGCCAAACCAAGCAGGTGAACTACAACATGCCAGGCCGCCACCATTCAACCCCAACTACACGTACAAAGCAAACATGACCCAAGATATGTGATTTGTGTCGGGCCGGGTTTGCAGTCCCCTGGACTTTGGCAGAGACCATTTTTCCGCACCATGTACTCAAAAACAAAACTTCTCCATGCAATTTCCATTCAGGACAGTATTTTGTACCTAAATAATATTTCTTCTAGTCACATCCTCAGCAAAGTTGCGCTATCTATTCGTTCGTTGTAGTGCATTTGCGTCCTAGAGGATTTTACAATCCACGAGTGACGTTAACCAGTGTACTGTGCCGGACCTGCCCACAAGGTAAATCCGGGCACAGCTGAATGGTCCGTACCCCCAATGAAAGGTCCGTGGTTGTGTGGAGAGCCCTGTTGTACCCACTGGTCTTATTTACGACAGTCCTGTGGAACACAGGGGCAACACTAGTACAACAGGTACGCTTAGGAACACCTGGGGTGAGGATACTAGCATGGAGGGAACTGTTATCGGACAGGTGAGGAGGACAGTGGCGGACAGGTAGAGCGATAGGATCGACAACACACCTGGGATTATTTTTTTCGGGATCGCACCTGAGAAAGAGTTGACAGCCAAGCATGGGGACCAGGGAGGTATGTACTAGTACTGTTGTTTACCTTCTTAGCTACATACCATAACAACGTGTAGGGAACATAATGTTCATTATGGGCCTGATTCAAACACAAGAGAGTACATGTATGTACCGAAGTCACCCAAATCGGCACGAGTAAAAGCAGCATTGTGACAGGTGTGGTTACGACTGAGGATACGTTACGCTGACTTCCTGGACCAAATACGGAAATACCTAACTACCTGGATACAATAGAGTGTCTTCTAAAGTTCTAAAACGCTAGATTGTACACAGGAAAATGTGAGAAAAAATTGTTATCTTGCTCAAAATAAAAAGAGTGAAATCAAAGTATAGCCTTGGGGCATGTGTATGTTAAGGCACGTGTTTACAGTGTGTGTCGTTAGTGACGCTGTTTGCATGGCGATGGGGGAGGGGGAGGGCCTCTCGACTTTGACAGGCGTGTTCTAGCACGGTGGTTTACAACTTCAGAAAGGAGTGGATCGTCTGTGTAAAGACTGTTGGTAGTGCTCAAAGTAAAGTGTCCAAAATGTGAGCCGCGGTACGTTTGCTTATGACGTCATGTCACCACAATTCACCTGTTGCAAGCCTCTCACAAAAACAGGAAGAACAAGAAATCAGAAACGGTGGCACCAGAGCTAGACCTATTCTGTCCAACCAGAGGTTTAGGCTTAGTTTTGACGTGTTTTCGTGTGTTTTTATGGAGCTTTCTTTTTTCTGTACAGGTATCTATTTTTTACGGGTGGCAAATCGATACAAAGTACTGCCCAGCCAATTTGATTATGTCTTGACACTTTGAATCTGTCTTGAAGCCAGAAAAAGATCTACTAGTTTTTTGGAGATTAGACAGATTGTTACAGAACGCCCTCCATTCTTCAGAGAGACACGTCGTAATCAAAATGACGTAACAGGGACAGGTCCTTGCAGCAATAAATCATGTTTCAAATGACCCGTTTTAGTGAAAATACCAACACAAATATTTGGTAGCCCCGGGCTCGACCTAAGCTGTCATTTGGACAGTAAACCATAAAAAGGA